CAGTCTGCCCATGACCCGCTGAACTCAGCCTCGCAACCTCTATCTCAGCCAGAGCCAAGTCACCGTTAGAATGCACATTGCAGACCCCACCTCTTGACCACGGTGCTCTCTTCTTGGCGACAAGTATGAATGCGGTTGCACCGGCAGCAAGACCCCTCTCGTCGATGGCCATTACTATAATCTAGTGCAAAGATGCTCCGTTAGATATCTATATCTATACTACTATTAAAAGAGCAAACATAAACTCCTCTAAAGCCACACAACAAACTGTACACGGGATAATCAGGACCTTCTGATTAAATTAACTTAAACATATCCTACCGTCCATATTATGTCAATGGTCAGCGAAATAGATCAATGTCTCAGATTAAATGTTCTGCCAAGCAGACGCTATCGTCTGCCAATTCTCCGTGCTCCGCATCCCTCGATCCCGCGGCCCACCTGCCTGATTTATGGAACAAAATTAGTGCGTGATCTCCCTCGCTCGCATGATTCCCTTAATTATGGAAACAACCAAAGATTTTTCTCGTTTCTCTCCACTTCTGTCTCCCAAAAATAACTGCTCCCTCCCCTCGCCCGCTCACCTCTCCCCACGGCCGCGTCGTGTCCACCGCCGCCCCCACGCGACGCAGGCGGGGATCTCCTCCCAAGTTCCCCTCTTCTCCCTCTTCACCATCCCACACGATAAGCGGGCAGCAGAGGACGAAAATGGCGACCACCATCTCTCTCCTCTCCCTCGCCCCGCTCCGACTCACCCACCGCTGCCTCCTCTCCCTCACCCCCGGCAGGCCTCACGTTTCCATACGCTCGCCTCGGAGGACGCAACCGCCTCAACCGTCTCCGGGCCCGGAGTGGGCGCGAGGAGTAGGCTGCTCTTGGTGCTCGACCGGGCGCTCATGGACGAGGAGCAAGACTGCCGCGAGTGCGCCCAGGTGCAGCACAAGGGCATCGAGGCGGACATCCTGCTACTTTCTCCACCCCCTCGCCGTCGCCTCTCCCGAACTTCCTCTGGCCTGGGGACATCCTGCTGCTGTCTCCACCCCGTCCAGTCTTCGTCCGGCCTTCTTATCTCCTCCCTCTCTTTGAGGTATGCATGAGCAGCTAGATGGGTTGTTTCTTCTCATCCACTGCGGCCTCAATTCTCTTTCTTTTTAAACCAAATCGATCAATTCGAGTAGGGTAGGGATGGGGCCTTCACACGATTTCTATGCCAGATCCGCCCCTGGGTGTATTGTCCATGGTAGGATCATGCATGTTGTTGTGTTCCTTGATTCCATCTTTTGGATGATATGTGTATGATTGGTTCGCTGTCTTATCTTGCGTGGTTGCAAATTTCAGGGATCTTTTACAATGGATGATGCGTGATAGCTTGGTGCTTTTTATTATGGTAATACTAATAATTACTACTATGCATCTGAATACCCTCATGCGTACAACTGTTGTATGTTTCAGGAAAATATCAACTATTGATTTCCTCCTGATTAGCAACTCCATTGATGTGTTATATGTATTATCATCAATTCGTCATTTTGATAGATAGATTATAACACCGCTGCTCTTTGTAGATTTTGAATGAAGGAGAGAAGTTGAACCATTGGGAAGAGAAAAGCGGCCGCTAGGCCACCCCCTAGGAAGTGGATGGACAAACTCGATACGGTCTTTTCCTGCCCATTCTGCAATCATGGGAGCAGCGCTGAATGCCGGATGATAGTACCATCTTCATGTATTTTTACTATTAGTTGGTTGATACTAGACGGTTATCTCTCCATTCAAAATTGTGACTGTCCTTCATTTTTCTTCAGTGATACGAAGAACCTGATTAGTGAGGCTAATTGTCAAATCTGCCAGGAAAGCTTCAGCACCACTGCAAAGAAGTTCAACCTACCACATTATTTTCTTGTTAATGTACTTTAATTAAGCTATCTTATCTTAAGTGAATTATTCTGCCGAGGGTCAAGAACTATCCTGGGCAATGTTAAATATATATAGCAATGCATATTTGCCCTATTCCGCATGAAGTAAAATTTAGCATAGCATTACAGTTATGTTGGAACCTTCTGAATTTCGTAGAAACACAAGCTGCTAGCATAGTGGTGTGTAGGGGGAGGCCTGGAGCAGACATGTGATTGTTTTGCCGGGGCAGATATCAGGCACATCTGCAGGCAGCAGACTGTAGGCAAGGGCACATGGCAGTGTAGCGACATGGCCGGTGGCTTGCTGCTGTTGCGAGTGGGCTACCTAGAAGATGAACATGAAGAATATGGTGCCAGCAATAGCAAAGGGGAAGGCAGGGAGTGGTAAAGTGAAAGGTTAGTTTGAGGCTCCTTTTGAATTTCTATATTTGTGTACATTAGCAGAGGAAAACGATAGTGTGCCACTCTGAAACGATAGTGGTCTTTTCATGCCGTAAATTGCAGATTTGACAAGACACTTCGGCTTAATTTTTTTATTGTTATCTTAGTACTATTTTCATGCTGTAAATTTCAGATTTGACAAGGCACTTTGGCTTAATATTTTTTATGGTTGTATTTCAGAGAAATATTGAGGTGTGAAGTTAGTATACAGATATAGATGCTCCACAACATGTGTATTGTTGCGTAACTCTTGGCTCTCTACATCAGCCTTCAATCACATGAAGGTACACCCCGGTGCTGGGTATGTACATAAACTAAGTGCAAACGTGTAATCTATATGTATTCTTTTCAATGCTAATTTGATATTTGGCTTTACAAACTAACCTTGCAATTTAGTTAGAAACGATAAAGTTATTCAGAAATCCCTTGAAACATTCTCCAGCAAAATCAAATGAAGGGCATTGAAGTTCCTTTTTAATACGAGCCTCAAACTTATTGTATTCTGAAATCTGAATATGTTCCCATTGTTGCATCATTTAGCTATTCTTTATTACCTCATCCAGTAATGTTTCTTTTGTGCTTTCACTGAATTAAGAAAATAGTTTTTATAGCTTATCTATGTACTACTTATTAAAGTTTGATGGATTATGGTTGGAATGTGATGCTTATCTGCTCATTTTATTTTTTACAGTTTGTGATCACATCAGATTTGAGGTGTATTTATAACAATCACATAAATGGAAGGTTGCAGGGCGATTTTGGAAATGTCAATGGCGTCAACAAAGACATCGGACAAGAGGTAAACACTTATCTATGTTTACCCTCTACTATTAGATTATACTGTTGAAATTGATTTTGCGACACAAATATGGTGAGTAGAATCTCACCTTATATTTGTTGATTACATGTGTTGCACACTGGTCTATATGTATCGGCTCCCCTATCCATCTGGGCAGGGTATGCTCTTCTAATTATTATGATGATTTCCACATGTAGTAATGCTACTCTCAATGTTTTTTTGCGTAACAATCTGACTATTTTGTATTGAAAACTTCGTAGTGGTTCTTCCAGTTAAGTTGAGCTTAAGACGTAGTGATTCTGGTTTGAAATTTCCTAAATGCATTTTCCAATCCAAAATTTCTTTTTCCATATATGGACTCTTTTGCTAAGAAATAGGCCAATCTGCATTCAAAGTTAAATAAAATATATGGCCTTCTGTTGATAGATGGAATTACACATTGATGGATTGTGGTTTTTATTTTACTTATAGAAATAGCGAAACTGAATATTCTGTTTGCAACACAGCTATCATATATTCTAATTCAGACACAAGTGATGATACAACAATGCTCTTCGCCAAATTCTAATTCAGGCGAGCATAGCTTAGCTTGGGACCATGCCCGTGCAACAGTTATTGTCATCTTCATGCCCCATATAAGTTGCTTCTGTCATGCATAGAAGACAAAGACGCCATCAACAGCAGCGACACACATAGTGAGGTCATTGCCCGACAGGATTTTGCTTTGAGCTGCTTGGAGACATCCAGCGTCGTTGTATTCCTGCTTTATTGCCCTGTTTTTACACTGAAAATCTGAACATATGTAGTTGATTTCCAATATTCGATCGTACTGCAATATTTTTTGACTTGGTTATTTGTACATAGTACAAGCTTGAATATTGGAAAAAAAATTGTGCATTACTTTGTATGTGCATTTGCACGCATGCATATGATAATTCACGTCAGATTTGTTATGTGCTCTGTTTGCCACCAAAGTTAAGTGCACCTCCTTATTTTCATATTACGATTTGAAGTCTTGTTTGAATAGCCCTATTTGTATTTGGTGGATTGTATCTATATACCATGTTAACAATAGATGTAACCTCATTTATTTTCACATTAATATTAAATGCCTCTTCAGTATATCAAAACGATCTTTCTCTATGAGGAGCCTGCAGTTTGTGATGTTGAAATTTTTCTTTGGGCAAATACACTACATAAAAAACATTCTATGCTGAGCACCCTGCAAAGGCAGATATGTACTCGGCATAGTATTTGTTCAGTGTAAAACTCTATGAAGTGCACTTGGCATACACCTAGCATGGTGTTTACTGAATGTATTTATTGGTTTTTGAAAGGAATCTTAAGATTCTTATGTTCAACTATAATTTATCTCCGAAAGCTCATTCTAGAATACTTATATATAGACCCCCATTTATGAACATCTTTTTAAAATTATACTAGGACATGGATTTTAAATTTTGGGTACTTTGAGCATATTCACATTTATATTTGATGAGGGACATGTGCGTGCACGTGCATGGTTACTAGTAGAAGAAAATCAGTCAAAGATGAGGAGCTCGGAGAGGCGGTCCGGTCCGTGTTTGTTTCCAACGGCGGAGCAAACCAACAAACAAGCGTGCCAACCAGGTGAAAGAAACCTGTGAGCTGCCAGCCTTTGGCAATCTTGTTAGACCATATCACTCATCCGTCGGAATTGATCCGTACGGTAGGGTTTTTTCTTTTCCGAACGTGCGCGCGTTAGGTTTCTCGTAGCAACGCACGGGCACTGTGCTGATGGTGGTGGTGGTGGGGAGTCAGTCACGGTGATCAAGTGGGCGGGCGGGGAGACTACGCAGCCCGCGTTCCGACGAGGACAACGACCGAGCTGCCGATCCCCATTCGCGCTAATCCGACGGGCAGAGGCCATCGGAGCATGCCATGCACGGCGACGAGATCAACGCTCTTGTTTCTCAAGGGTTGCCGCTTTCTCCTCGCCGTGCCCATTGTTTATTCTGAATCTTTGCGCTAAACGATTTTCTAATTTAGCGAGTCCTTTTCAGGTTATAGTAGAAGAGAGTGTACATGGTGCACCATCTGGAGCTAGTGCAGAAGGGCGTTGAAAACACCATGGATGAGCTGATCTTTTGACGGCTGCTCGACACCTTTTGACTGGAAAGGGGGCGAAAATCGGGCAGCTTGAACCGGGAAAAAGGCGGCCTCAGGTGCCATGAAATTCCTTGCAAGACCAAAGGCTCAAAGCGGCCCATCCACGATTCTTCAAGCTGCCCCGCAAGAGATTGACTACCCACTACACATAAGTAACAGCACAACCTGGAACTGTTATTTGCAAAACTCAAGTATGTGTGTATCACTGCCATGATTCCAGATTGTCTGTGTAAAGTATACAGATGTCAATGTTTTCACAGGGAACATACGGTCCTTGCCAGAAACAAACCTGCCTGCTTGTCAAAAGAATAACAACATACAATTCTACAGTGGTTTGGCAAGCTTCGGTTTTACAAGTTTACAACAGTTTGCGCGGCATGATTCAAGGAACTTCCAAGCGACCGCACACGGCGCCTCATCAGGGTATTTTACACTTGTGTTGTGTGGATGCTCACTTGCCCTCTGCAATAGACAACAGCCTTCTGCCGACCGGTGGAGCGAGCCCGGGGAGGTCAGGAATGTCCTTGTTGTGTGGGTTCACAATCTGCAATGAAATCATCAGAAGGGCACTGTAAAACCAGAACGTGGTGAACATAAAAGACACATTAATGTAATACTACAAGTTAGTTATCGGTTTTTTCATGTCCACAAATGTTCGATGCACTCCCCACTAAGGCAGTGTAACAGAATTCTGAAAGCACGTAAATATCGATGCACCAACAGCTGTCTGGCTGTCTATGTGCATGAACAGTGAACTAGTGTTCGGATATATTTTAGTCCACAAAGAACTGTCATGGAATACATGATATGGGCAGTTTTCCGAATTAATGGGTAAATCAGCAAATTAATGGTTGCCTGATCTTTATCTTCTAGCCATGTGGTCTTTACGTTTAGTGAGCTAGTGTGGAAGCATCTGATCCACGCCACCAAACAGCACAGTGATTGCTTGAGGAAGGGTGCATTCCCACCAACTTCTGTAAACCTCACATCAAACCAAAAGGCCAATAGGCAAGGAAGTAGCCAAATCGAGTTATGTATAGTTTCCAACATATTTATCCTACTTGGCTGGGTGTGTGTGTAATACACCAAGTAATGTGACTAAGTAGGTCACTCAAGAAGCTAGCACTCACCTTAACAATTATTACAGCTATGACTCCAGCGACAATGAGAAAAAGCAATCCCATGATGCAGCGGTCAGTTGCAACCTGCATCATTTAAAGTGGAAATAAATAACAATTGAGTTGACAGCGAAAACGTAAGGATTTCCAGAGAGAAGTACTTACCTGCCTACCAATTTCTTTCACCAATTTTGATGCCTTTTTCATGGAGAAATGAATGGAATCCAGCTCATTAACAACCCTGCTCATTTGCTCTGTCTGGTAAGAAATAGCCAAAAGTTAACCCTGGTATGTTGTGTCCCTCTTAGACAGCATAATACAATGACAGGCTGCTTCTGAGAATCAGAAAGAATGTCTTGCCTGTGCTTTGAGAGCAGCTGCAGTTTCTGTACCCACATTGATCGTCTCTTGGACAGTCTACAAAAGATAACACGAAATCAGTATGTGGGAGCAATAATAAAGCATTGAAGCACATTATTATGAAAGCAAGAGCACTGCAATTTGTGTAAGAACTTGAGGTTCTGCCCCAACAAATTGTATATTTATCAGTTAAAGGCTTAAAACAACTAAAAAATACAAATGGTAAGGACTTGGGCAATAGTCTCATGCCCACACTTAGAACAGAAATATCCAATGTGTGACCAAGCATTTGCTTATAACTTGTCTGTATTGAGATGAATATCTGACTGCACGGGGAAACAAACTTGCAACTGAAACCTATATGAGCACTTGCAAGAAGAGAAGGACAGATAAAGAGGAGCAAGCCCAACCACCATATCGTAATAAGTCAGCCCAACCACCTAGTTGTACAACCAGGAACAACATTTTTATAAGATCAAACATTCAAACAACAACACAATAGTTCTTTTTGTGAGCAGAAACTTCAAACATTTTCCATAAATGGGTTTTCCTTGGGAGATGCCCCGCAAGTCAGTTATAGGTCATACCAACAGAAATAAGTTTTGGATATACACGAGGGAAAACAAAGTACACGTGCATAGATTTCTACAAACAGTTATAACAAATAAATGCAAGAAAAGCAGAGAATCATTTACACATTTCTTACAAAGATATCAACTTGCTCCAAGAAAGTAAAATTAGCACAATTAAACATATACTGTACGATAAACTCATTTGCAATAAAGAAGAATCTATCAAACATGGCATCATGCACATAGAATAAAAATAATGATGCAGATGAAACACAAAGACAAACAACTTCCAGTCTAAAAAGAACGGACACGCCAGATATTGCCGAACTATCGTTCTGATACGGCGAGGTATGGGGATACATGAATTTTGCAGTATCCTCGAAGTTCGAATTAAGAAAAAAGAAAAAAAGACGGGGATATGCCGCGACACGTTTGGGATGCACCCTGGCCCAGAAAACAGCCTCGGCCGATTAGCTAACCCTATTTTGCAGGGTTTCCCGCACGCCCTCGGCATAAGAAAGAGGTGCTCCCTACCTCCCAAGTCACAGAGAAGGCGTCGCCACCTCCTGGACTCGTCGCCGCCACTGCCTGGATTCGACCGGCAACCGTCCCCTCCAGCACCAGCACCAGCAGTCTCTCCTCGCAGCCGCACATAACCCAGCAGCCTCTCCTCATTCTTCAACCTCTTCCACTTTTAATCTTCAGATTTATTCTACTAAGCTATTGGATCTGGATGCTTGCTGCTCTTTGCTTGTGCTGCTGCTGTTCTGTTTGCTATCCATATTATGCTGTTGTTGCCCGCTTGTGCTGCTGCTGCTGCTAGCCTGCTACTGGAAGCCCTGCTCAGCTGCTCTATTTGAATGCTTGTGCTGCTGCTGCTTGCCTGAATATATAGTCGAATAAGTGCTTTTGCAGTAATGCTTGTGCTGTTGTAATGTTGTTCAATGTCCATTGTTCAATCTCGAATCTGCTTGCTTGTTGATTGGAATTGATTAGTTGTTGTTGGCCTGACAGGTACACCAAATGGGGCAGTATTCTCTATTCTGATCTCTTTCTCTTTAATTTTCAGTCTTAACTCTATATTACATGGCATATTTTTATTTTATTTTATATATACTCGCCGTATCCCTGAATGGCTGTTTTTGGAAAATGCCGTATCCCGTATCTCCGTATGCGTATCCCAGTCTTTCCGTCCCTGTGTCTGTGCTTTTTAATTTCCAATAAATTAAGGTACATGCAAACAACCAAGCCAAATACCAAAATAATATGGCCGTACTGTATAGACAGAGTAATTCACTCAAGCCAAACATCAAAATAATATGGCAATACTTTATACACAGAGATGTGAGTGGTTCACTACATTTCCTTATATAAACAAATTATGGCATAGGGTCAATGACGCCTGACAAGAATATATAAGAGTTTCCACATTTGATAGCTCATAATGAAAAACGAATGGTTGACTATTAAATTGCACACATAATCCAACAGAAGGTTATTTTATGAAATATTAATGTGTAACTCAAATTTACAGCCCCAACATGAACACATACCAACAAGGCTGAACTACTGGACCCACCACGAAAAGGTACACTGCAGGAGAAAGCTAACCTGTTTAGATCGTGCGAGAGCTTGATCAGTCTCATCCATTAGATTGTCTCCATGCTGCATTAGCTGCTGGTTTGACATATCTACAGAAGAAAAAACATGCTGAGAACAATAATCTGTCTAAGAGATATACAAATCCACACTGGACATGTCAAAGACGTTTATTTTCTTTCAGTGCATTTGTCAACCATTTTCAGCGTAGAAAAGAAGGAATATTTGTAGTCCTTGAGCCCGAAAGGAATGATGCTATCACATCATTTCGCTTACTGGGACTGGAATATTGCTACTTACTTGATGCTAACAGGACATTTTCTTCACCAAAGGCATCTTCACCACTTGGGGCATCAAAAAGATCAACTCGCTTATTTTCACTTGCATGTCTGAAATCCAAACAATATTTATATGATCACGAGATGTTACCAGAACTGATGAAACATATTCCTTCAAGTTTATGAGTGATTATAATGCACAAATTAAATTAGAAACACAGGACAAGTCCTTGTGGGCGTGTATGCAGAAGTCGGCTACAATACAAGCCAAATGACATTACGAGATAGGTAAAAACTCACTGTTTCTTCAGAGCAACATAAGAGTTCAATTCCTTGATCTGCGAAATAGGACAAAATCAGGCTTATTAAAAGTTGAAGAATCACAATAGCAAGGTTTATAAATAAATTATTGGGACCAATGAGTTTCCATGGCAGTACCAGCGACTGCTTTCTCTCGTTCAGAAATTTAGCAGTGTTGGGATCAACACTGCCTGCCTCATCTTTGACAACTCGTTCGAAGTCTTTGATAAGCCTATAAAGGACACGGAAAAAAGCAAAATGACTACTGTCAACTGTTATGACTTACAAGGAGTCAAGGAAGCTCATGCAACATCAAAATTCAGTAAACCAGCTATCTTTTTGTCTTAGAAGCTACTAGTTAATCACATGGATAAGATCTCAAAGCAGGCGTTGCCAGTAGTATGCACTGCATCGTACTATTTGGTACTATAAGATAGTGAAACAATTGCAGTGGCAAATGGATAAGTTAACATGAGCCAAACAGGGGCCACATATACACTCTTGCCAAATGTAGCATTCATACTTATCAAGTTCAAACACTGCCGTTTTACTACCAAGTATATGTGTGCCAACTGTCTGTATACAGTATTATACAGAGGAAAAGAAGGAAGGAATACCTTTTGCAATCTCGCATCTTGTCAGTGAGCTCTTCGAGCTGCCTGCTCCGGCGGTTGGCATCCTTGATCTTGTCGAGCTTCTGGAACCCATTTCTGCAGAAAAATCAACCAAAGCATCAATCCACCAATCAATTCACCCCATTTCTTAGTCGCATTATACTACTACCATTTCTGCGGAGACTACAACAAACACACGCGCTTCTCTACGGGCAACAATCCGATCTCCATACGCGAAATCAACAGCAGCACCGAGGAGATCTACCGCGCACTTCATCGAAGCATGACAAAATTCAAACATATAGAGAAAAAAAGAGAGAGAAGGGAATCAGTCGAGCTTACTGCAATGCGCGGAAGATGTCGGCGATCTGCCCGTCGATCTCGGCGAGCTCCTCGTTGACCGACGCCAAATCCATCCCCTCCCCCGGGAATCTAGTAGCCCCGCGGAGGGACCCGGGAATCCGACTAAAAATGGATCCTCGGGGAGGGACCAACCCAGCCTAGCCCAAACCCAACCAAACCCCACGCGGCGGCCGGATCGACGGGGCCCCGGTCAGCGCAGATGCTGCGGGGACAACTACCGGGCGCGAGGCGCGAGTTCGGGGGGAGGGATCGATCCCCAAGCGCGTGCGGTGGTGCCGGCGGTGGTGGACGCGGCGCTCTTGGTCTGGCCTGTTTGTCTGGCCTCGCTCTTTTTTCTTTTTTTTGGCTTCGCTTTTGCTTTACGGGTTCGGTATCTTCCTCGTTGGATTCGACCTTTTTTCCGGTGGAACCACCGCGGCGCGTGTCCGTCTGATGTGCATCCGACGCCCCTCATCATGACAATAACAAACATTTAAAATTACGTATGTTCTTTTAATCAAATGGATGAGAATTGGTGATGTGAATTCGGTCGTGCTTGACTTGACAATGTCCTAGGAGGATGAACGTGCATGTTTGTTGGGATGTACCGATCCAACCTAGCATGAGCCCACATGGAGGTTTACACGAAATTCAGCCATTTCATTGACATAAAAAAAGAGTTGAATAGGTACACATGACAAGTTAGCAAAGACTAGCTTTACATTTTTTTAATGTTATTTTTCAATTGAAATGATCTTTAATATTGTATTTGTTATTTTTCATCCGTATGGAACTTTTATAAGCTTGGTGAAATTTCTAACCATGAGATTCTAACGCCCACTGTTCATTTATCATCTTCGATAGCAGCACCAACCTCTGTTTTGTGTGTGGCGCCACCTATTACAAATCATCTTAACTAGTTAGTGTTTTGAGTTCTCGTGCTTCAGTACCATGAGTTCGACAAGAATATGTCTTGGTGGCGTGGAGTGGTGGTGCCAGCCCGCTCGTAGAGCCTGTGGAAAGTACGGATATACCTTAACCCACGGGCATTAATTTCAACGGCGATTTTTGGGGAGAGCTCGGACAGCTGCCTGGAGTCGCTGGGAAGGTGTCTTCGCCGTTGGAGGTGTGGAAGCTATAAGCAAGCACATAGTTGAGTATTTTAAGTCCATGTCCACGAGGTTTATCCAGGGTTTTTGAGTAATTTATGGCATGTTCATGTAAGTGTGAATATATATATATATAGATAAATGATATTGCTTTTTATTGTGAGAATAGTAATAAAGAGAATCAAATCGTGTGAGGTGTGTTTGGCAACAAAATGTGATAGTTTTGTGTGTTGTGTCCATGATCTACTTGATAGTAGGGGGTATCCTTAGTAGCATGATCATTAGTACGTTAGCGAGGGCGTGTGAGACGGTCTTGTAGCGAAGGTGGGTGTACACACGACAAGAGTGACCCAATGATGTTTCTTTAATAAGTTCGACTGACCCGATGGAATGCTACCTAGTCCCATGTTAGGACGGTATTGGGTGGGGCAGGGGATCTCGATGTCGTGGCCGTTGTGCCTGAGTCAATGGTGCGGTGGATGCCCTCTTTGGATCCCTTCTATACTTTATACCTCTATAAGGGATCCTTATGGAGCTTGACATTTGGGAACCTTATGAAACTCCCCTTTGTCCTCAAAGTTGCCCCGGGAGTTTTGGAGCTACACCAGATTTTTAGATTTTTTGGATTTTGGAAAAACACTGATAGGAGTCGGATTTTAGCGTCCAGAATCAACCCCCCTGAGAGTCAGATGAAATCACAGGAGGAGGCTCTCGTGCTCCGCGACCGTGGCCACCAAAAATCAGAGGGGGAATCCTTCTCCCACCTAGGGGAAAGGTCAAGGAAGGAGGAGGGAGGCTTTATCTCCCTCCCTTCTGGCGATGTAAGAACGCCGCCGAAGGAATCGTCATCATTGACATCTCCTCCAATGACTTCACCATCATCTCCATCACTATCTTCTGTCTTTGACTAGAGACTTCAACATCCATAAACCTCTGTAATCCATAACGACTTTTCGACCACCGTTTTACAAGCTTCTAGATCTAGCGTCATCGGAGGGCATTTGAAGGTGTTTCTCCTACGGATCTCGTGGGATTCGATTTGATGTTGGTCTTCCATGGATCTCCATGAATCTAGTCTTCGTTTGCGTGTTTACAAGTTGGATCCTTCGATTCACACTTATTTTCTTCGACGGCGGTTGGTATTATGGTGCATTGGTTTTATAGAGTCTTAGCACGACAACTTCCAAGGGTCTATTACAACAAATTCTGCCTGACTTTGATGAGGGAGTTTTTCCTCGAATTATATCGGAAGTTTTTCCTTGAAAGAAAAACATGTCTTTTTTTGGCTAGAAAAAAACATGTCTTTTTAATTTGGAAGGCTATCATTGGTTTTTGTGGGAGATAATGTGTTAGAAGTTGAGTCGTGTTGCTCCATGACAAAGAAGACCTCGGCACCCTTAAAAATTAAGTGCATTTCCCAATTTATAAAAGAAAGCCTTTAAGGGGTTATACTACTTAATATATGGCCTATGGCCTTTTCAAAAGAAAAAAAATTATCACACCTCTAAACACAGATAAAATATCCATGCTACAGCGTAGCATTACCAATTAACCAGGAGCATAACATGTCTTTACTAAACTGGTCTCAACACTCGGAAGTTTTAACTGACACAGTACGGCAGGAGACACACGCTGTACAATACATCCATAGTTCTTCATAACACGAGTTATTTTCGACAGATTTAAGTCCCAATAGGCATCAAGGGCGTTTGAACTTGTAGTATATGTTCATGCCCTCTTGAACAGAACAACTAGGATGACCGCCATGGCAAGAGCCATGAAAGATCCGCCAGCCGCCATCTCCGCGAACGAAGGCTTTTTAGAGGATGAGCCCGGTCGGGCCTCAGCTTCTGCCGGGTTGTGGAACAGGTCTTGGAAGAAGTTGGTTATGTTGTCAACCATCTCCATCATCGTCTTCTTCGCATTGTCCACAAAGTCCGACAAAGGCGAGGCAGTGGGAAGTGCATATTCTGGGGATGCCTCTTCAAATTTCTCCGGTGACTCTACTGAGTCACTAGAGTCGGTGCCCTCAGGAAAAGTATTGACCAGAGCTGTATCACAAGAGAAGATAGTAATGGTCATACATACAATTCCCACAGAAAAATAATGGCGGTACAGTTCACGAGAAACAATAAACCCAAGATGTAACTTTTGAGATTAGGACAAGGTGAAACATACTTTGCTGGTGACTCTTGTAAAATTCCATAACCCTCTCGTTCTTCAACACCGCGTCCCACACATTTTTATCTGATGCAAGCGAGGCAACAACGCTCTGGAGATCAAAATAAAAAACGTAAGTGAAAGAAACGGAATATCAGAACTGAGAACTGGCTCAGCTCAACTAAATCTCATTGTGCTACATATAATTAATTACTTGACATAAATTATCTAATGAGTGTCGTACTTCTGAAAACTATGCAACCAAAAGATGAAAATAATTTGTTAACACTGTGAACTAAATGTTGATATGCTACATACAAATTCACCTGACACTAAATATCTAATGACAAGGTGCCATGCTTTCGGGAAATGACGCAACTAAAAAGATGGAAATTCATTCCATACAAATATCATTAACACTATACTACAACACACTCATATACAAACTAAATGTACATAACATACCAAAATTATCAAAGGAAACATCATAAAGCAACAATAACAAGCTATAAATTGATTGATGACTAACACAGAATGATGTCAACACAACAAATCCTCAGTGATAACAGGTGCATTCAATTTGCCCAAGTGCCTCTTTTCAAAAGCAACTTCACTAATATTTTGTGCGTATACAAAGCCAACAACAGAGAAACAACAGTGCAATCCGTATAGATGATAGTAACAACTGATTGAAGCAATGCAGTTACAGACCTGTGCCTCTGGGCTTGATTTTAACAATGTAAAAGCCTGCACTACATGTCCCGGCATAGCAGGAATTAATGCATCGGCTCCCAGCTTGCTAAGCTCTTGATCATGTTCCTTAACAACTTCTACTGGAGTCTCTTTAAAATAAACCCTACAAACAATCATTTTGTAGGGCTTCAGAACATTTGGATATAATAACATAATATGTAGATGAAGAAAAAGGCAATACGTGCAAATGCAACAAATTCTAAAACATAAAGGTAGCAAAAACTTGAATGAAAACAAACACAACATTTGTACTTGATGCACAGAGGGTTTTCTCCTGCAATATACAAGAGAACTGAAGGGACAGAGTTGTACAGATGTGACGATATCATAGCCTGTTCAAGTTTAGCTTGTTGAATGAACAAACATGAATTGGTCAACTGGAGTAACGTACAGGGAACAAACTGGAGTCGCCTTCATTTATTTACTACTCCCTCTGTAAAGGGATAGAAGAACGTTTAGATCACTAAGTGATCTAAACGGTCTTATATTTCTTTACCGAGGGAGTACTCACTAATATATTGGGGAAGTGATGTCTTGAGTTCTTAGTGATAACTGAAGAATGGAGTAACAAATTTAAAACACAAACGGTCCTTCAAACTTCCTGACATATTTATTTTCCTTTTGACAGTGATAAAACTAGTTCTGATTTGATACTTCTCGAGTGAAAATTGAACAATCCCCTCAACTGCACCATAATTGACCCATCACATACAAGGTGAACATAAATTTCACGTCGTAGAAGAATTATTCTCTTTATTGTGAAGTACTGAAGTAGATACAGTTACAGTGTAGGCGTTGGAAACAACAGCTCTTGGTGTAAGCACTTTCTAACTTGGTACAGTGTTTAATTTTCCTTATATAAGCATCCCTATAAGCGCCCAGGCAAATTTAAGCAGTATAAGAATCGAAAACCTAACCCTCACAGACCAATTTGATACCATCAAATCAGAACGGGCATATTATCAAGAGAGCATAAAGCTTCTTAATATTCCAGACCATCGCCCAAAGCAATCAGAATAAATCAACTGTGCCGGAGAAAACCCAGAGAGCAATTCGATCTCCAATTCGAAAAATCCCGAGAAGAAATGCATCCAAGTCACCTGTCAATAGCCTCCCGGAGCTCGGCGGTGGCCTCCTCGGCCTCCTCTCGCGAGGGTGGGGCGAAGACCAGCCTGGGCCCCCCGACCACGGCCACGTCGGCCTCGGACGCCGACTCGGACCTCCAGTCCGCGAACTCCCAGTCGTCCACCTCCCAGGATGCCCACTGCGACCCGGCCGGCGCCACCGGCGGGATCTCCCCGGCCGCGGACAGCAGCGGCGCCGCCGCGGCGGCCTCGGCCGCGGGGGCCGTGGCGAAGGACGGGGCGACGTTGCGGAAGCGGCCCGCCGCCGCCGCGGCGCCCCCGGCGAGGCCGACCTTCGCGGCGGTGCGCATGACGCCTCCTCCCATGGCTGATGGCTCTCTCCTCTTTCGGTGGCGTCTCGCCTCGCCTCTCCTCTGCGCTCTCCCCCTTCCGTTTCTACCGTCCGAAAAAATCGGGGGGCAATTGCAAAAGAGACCTTGTGGTTTTCTAAGCTGCCTCGTGTAAGGCTTTCCTCTTGTTAGACAGGTGCAGGATGGTGTGTGTGGAATAGAATATTGTTTGGGGTGTTTCGTGCGAGTATGCTGTGAACGGAGGGAGGCGGTAGGGTGAGAAAGTGGATAAGAACAGAGCTCCTCTCAGATTAAAAAAAAACAGAGCTTGACTTCGATACGAAGTTATCCATACGCGGATGACACGCGGGGCCACGTGTAAGAGACTGCCGACCTTTTCTTGTCCTTTTCTTCTTCACTGCTCGTTTGATTCACTCAATCAAAGATTCGCATATTCATACGATTTTTCTTTTTTTTAAACAACTAGTTAACGAGCGCTTCTTCGGAAGCCTCGCAACGATCAGCGCCACTTGGCGTGCTCTCAGTCATGCGCCACGTGTCGTGCTCTGGACGTTTCCTTCAAATTTTGTTTTTTTATTTTTCCGCACGCGTTTTCGGTTTTTTAAACGGGTTTTTTTCGGGGGTTTTCGATGTTTTGATTTTTTTCCGGTCTTCCTTAGCTTTTTGATAAAAAAAAGTTTAAAAAAATTTACACGGGAAAAACGTGTTTTCTTTCTTTTTCTTTCGCGAAAGTCACGGTTTTTTTTTCCGCAAGATGTGATAACCCATAAGTATAGGGGATCACAATAGTTTTCGAGGGTAGGGTATTAATCCAAATTTATTGATTCGACACAAGGAGAGTCAAAGATTATTCTCAAGTATTAGCAGCTGAGTTGTCAATTTAACCACATGTGGAAACTTAATATTTGCAGCAAAGTGTTTAGTAACAAAGTAATATGATAGTGGTGATAACGGTAGCAAAAGATAACGGTAGTAAAAGCAATGTTTTTGGTATTTTGTAGTGACGATAGTAATAGCAACGGGAAAATAAATAAGCGAAGAACAATATGTGGAAAGCTCGTAGGCAATGGATCGGTGATAGAGAATTATGCCGGATGCGGTTCATCATGTAACAGTCATAACCTAGGGTCACACAGAACTAGCTCTAGTTCATTGATATAATGTAGGCATGTATTCCGAACATAGTCATACGTGCTTATGGAAAAGAACTTGCATGACATCTTTTGTCCTACCCTCCCGTGGCAGCGGGGTACTTACGGAAACTAAGGAATATTAATGTCTCCTTTTAATAGAGAACCGAAATAAAGCATTAACACATAGTGAATACATGAACTCCTCAAACTACGGTCATCGCCTGTAAGTATCCCGATTATTGTCACTTCGGGGTTAACGGATCATAACACATAATAGGTGACTATAGACTTGCAAGCTAGGATCAAGAACACTCATATATTGATGAAAACATAATAGGTTCAGATCTGAAATCATGGCACTCGGGCCCTAGTGACAAGCATGAAGCATAGCAAAATCATAGAAACATCAATCTCAGAACATAGTGGACACTAGGGATCAAACCCTAACAAAACTAACTCGATTACATGATAGATCCCATCCAACCCATCACCGTCCAGCAAGCCCACGATGAAATTACTCACGCACGGCGGTGAGCATCATGAAATTGGTGATGGACGTTGGTTGATGATGACGATGGCGACGGATTCCCCTCTCCGGAGCCCCGAACGGACTCCAGATCAGCCCTCCCGAGAGGTTTTAGGGCTTGGCGGCGGCTCCGTATCGTAAAACACGATAATTTCTTCTCTCTGATTTTTTCTCCCCGAAACTCAATATATGGAGGTGGAGTTGGAGTCGGAGAGGCAACAGGGGGCCCACGAGGTAGGGGGCGCGCCCTAGGAGGCAGGCGCGTCCCCCACCCTCGTGGCAAGGTTGTGGCCCCCCTGGCCTTCATCTTTGGCAGGTATTTTTCTTATTTTTTGAAAAGTGTCTCCGTAAAGTTTCAGGTCATTCCGAGCACGTTTGCTCCTGCACATAAATAACACCATGGTAATTCTGCTGAAAACATCGTCAGTCTGGGTTAGTTCCATTCAAATCATGCAAGTTAGAGTCCAAAACAAGGGCAAAAGTGTTTGGAAAAGTAGATACGCTGGAGACGTATCAACTCTCCCCAAGATTAAACCTTTGCTTGTCCTCAAGCAATTCAGTTGACAAACTGAAAGTGATAAAGAAAAACTTTTACAAACTCTGTTTGCTCTTGTTGTTGTAAATATGTAAAGTCAGCATTCAAGTTTTCAGCAAAGATTATAACTAACCACATTTGCAATAACGCATAGGTCTCAAGTTTACTCATATCAATAGCATAATCAACTAGCGAGGCATAATAATAAATCTCGGTTGACAACACTTTCTCAAAACAATCATAATATGATATAATAAGATGGTATCTCGCTAGCCCTTTCTGAGACCGCAAAACATAAATATAGAGCACATTTAAAGATTAAGGACTGACTAGACATTGTAATTCATGGTAAAAGAGATCCAGTCAAGTCATACTCAATGTAAACTAACAGTAATGAATGCAAATGACAGCGGTGCTCTCCAACTGGTGCTTTTTAATAAGAGGATGATGACTCAGCATAAAAATAAATAGATAGGCCCTTCGCAGAGGGAAGCAGGGATTTGTATAGGTGCCAGAGCTCGGTTTTAAAACAAAGGTGAATAATATTTTGAGCGGTATACTTTCATTGTCAACATAACAACCAAGAGATGGCGATATCTTCCATGCTACACACATTATAGGCGGTTCCCAAACAGAATGGTAAAGTTTATACTCCCCCTTCCACCATAAGCATCAATCCATGGCCTGCTCGAAACAACGAGTGCCTCCAACTAACAAGAGTCCCAGGGGGGGTTTGTTTGCAATTATTTTGATTTAGTTTGCATAAAGCATGGGACTGAGCATCCCGGTGACCAGCCATTTATCTCGTGAGTGAGGAGCGGAGTCCACTCCTCTTGAGAATAACCCGCCTAACATGGAAGATACAGACAGCCATAGTTGATACATAAGCTATTCGAGCATACAAAACAAGATATTTATTTGGAGGTTTAGAGTTTGGCACATACAAATTTACTTGGAACGGCAAGTAGATACCGTATATAGGTAGGTATAATGGACTCATGTGAAATAACTTTGGGTTTACGGGATTGGATGCACAAGCAGTATTCCCGCTTAGTACAGGTGAAGGCTAGCAAAAGACTGGGAAGCGACCAGCTAGAGAGCGACAACAGTCATGAACATGCATTAAAATTAATCAACACCGAATGCAAGCATGAGTAGGATATAATCCACCATGAACATAAATATTGTGAAGGCTATGTTGATTTTGTTTCAACTACATGCATGAACATGTGCCAAGTCAAGTCACTTAAATCATTCAGAGGAGGATACCACCCTATCATACCACATCATAACCATTTTAATAGCATGTTGGCACGCAAGGTAAACCATTATAACTCATAGCTAATCAAGCATGGCACAAGAAACTATGATCCCTAGTTGTCATTGCAAACATGTTTATTCATAATAGGCTGAATCAGGAACGATGAACTAATCATATTTACAAAAACAAAAGAGGTCGAGTTCATACCAGCTTTTCTCATCTCAGCCAGTCCATCATATATCATCATAATTGCCCTTCACTTGCACGACCGAACGATGTGTTGGGGAACGTTGTAGAAAACAAAATTTTTCCTATGGTTTCACCAAGATCCATCTATGAGTTCATCTAGCAACGAGTGATCGGATTGCATCTACATACCTTTGTAGATCACGCGCGGAAGCGTTCAAAGAACGGGGATGAGGAAGTCGTACTCGACGTGATCCAAATCACCGGAGATCCTAGCGCCGAACGGACGGCACCTCCGCGTTCAAAACACATACGGTCAGCGTGATGTTTCCTCCTTCTTGATCCAGCAAGGGGGAAGGAGAGGTTGAGAAAGATGGCTCCAGCAGCAGCACGACGGCGTGGTGGTGATGGAGCAGCAGTACTCCGGCAGGGCTTCGCCAAGCTCGTGACGGAGGAGGAAAGGTGTTGGGGAGGGGAGGGGCTGCGCCTTGGATGTCTCTTGCAGCCCTCCCCTCGCCCCTCTATTTATAGGGGAAGGGAGAAGGGGGGCCGGCCCCTCTAGATGAGATCTAGAGGGGGGGGGGGCGACGGCCAAGGGGAGGGGGCTTGCCCCCCAAGCAAGGGGGGCGCCCCCCTCAGGGTTTCCCCCAACCCTAGGCGCATGGGCCCTAGGGGGGAGTGGCGCCCCAGCCCATTTTGGGATGGATCCCTTCCTCATACAGCCCATAGGCCCTCCGGGAGAGGTGGCCCCTCCCGGTGGCCCCGTTATAATACCGATATGCCCCCGAACCTTTCCGGTGACCGTACGACAATTTCCCATATATAAATCTTTACCTCCGGACTATTCCGGAACTCCTCGTGATGTCCGGGATCTCATCCGGGACTCCGAACACATTCGGTAATCACATATAAGTCTCCCTAATAACCCTAGGGTCACCGAACCTTAAGTGTGTAGACCCTACGGGTTCGGGAGACATGTAGACATGACCGAGAAGGCTCTCCGGTCAATAACCAACAGCGGGATCTGGATACCCATGTTGGCTCCCACATGCTCCTCGATGATCTCATTGGATGAACCACGATGTCGAGGATTCAAGCAACCCCGTATACAATTCCCTTTGTCAATCGGTACGTTACTTGCCCGAGATTCGATCGCCGGTATCCCAATACCTCGTTTAATCTCGTTACTGGCAAGTCACTTTACTCGTACCGTAATGCATGATCCCGTGACCAGACACTTGGTCACTTTGAGCTCATTGTGATGATGCATTACCGAGTGGGCCCAGCAATACCTCTCCGTTATACGGAGTGACAAATCCCAGTCTTGATCCGTGTCAACCCAACAGACACTTTCGGAGATACCCGTAGTATACC